AGATTAATAGTGGGAGGGATTTTCTGTGATTTAGCAAAAGCTTTTGATTGTGTAAATCATGATATCTTACTATCAAAATTAAATTTCTATGGAATAACTGGCAAAGCTAATGAATGGATCAAATCATACCTCATAAATAGGTACCAAAGAGTTGAGATAAAAAGTAAAAATTCCAGTTCTAATGCATTTTCAAACTGGGGAATCATAAAACATGGTGTTCCACAGGGATCAATTTTGGGCCCCTTGCTTTTTCTTCTCTACATAAATGATCTATCAAAAACCATCAATAATAAATCTAAACCAATTCTATTTGCAGATGACACTAGTATAATATTTAAGAACTCTAAAATTGAAGACTTTAAAAATGATATAAATTTTGTATTTGAAGCTTTAAATAGATGGTTCAAAGCCAATAAACTCTCACTAAATTTTGATAAAACCCATTTCAGATCATTCTTAACTAAAAACAGCCACCAAATTGATCTGGTCATCAGTTATGCCAGCAAATTAATCTGTAAAGCACCTGATACAAAATTCCTTGGAATACATGTAGACAGTACACTGTCTTGGAAAATACATATAGAACAAACTATACCTAAATTAAGTGCAGCTTGCTATGCAATGAGATCGATTAAGCCCTTTATGCCACAGGAAACACTGAAGATGGTTTACCATTCCTACTTTCATTCTATTATGAACTATGGATTAATATTCTGAGGGAACTCTTCACATAGTGTAAAAATTTTTAAGATACAAAAGAATATAATTAGAATCATTACAGGACATAGAAGTAGAGATTCATGTAGAGATATATTTAAGAAATTAAAAATTCTACCTCTTCAATCACAATATATACTATCGCTTCTCTTATTTGTTGTGTATAACAAAAATAAATTTGAATTAAATTCCAATATCCATAACATGAATACTAGACAAAAATATAGCTTCCATCTACCTTCATCAAACTTATCACTATATCTAAAAGGAGTCTACTTTCTGGCATAAAAGTGTACAATAGTCTCCCACAAAGTATCAAAAACTTGGGTAATGATACTAAACATTTTAAATCAGAGCTAAAGAAATATCTGCATGCTAATTCCTTGTACTCTGTAGACGAATACCTCAATGTAAATAGAGAATAATATAGTATTAAGATGTATTAGTTTAAGATAAAATTACTTGTACCAGTAGGTATTATTTTGACTTGTTCTATATCCAGAGGTATTAACCTACTTAGGATCTATGGAATGCAAATAAATTCAATTCAATTCAAAAACTGCATACAAACAATGCCTCTAACAATTACTCTACTTTTGTTTGTGTATTCATTGCTATGGTTAAGTTTTTACCAAGCCATTGTCTAGCAATAACAGGGGAATACAAATACAGACTCAGAGACTGATGGGAGGGATTTATGAAGTACACCACTGAACGATGGGCTGAGGTGTCATGATATACACACCAAGTTCCATAAAGATTGGTTCAGGAATTCAACATTTAATGAGAGGATGCAGAGACACACAGACAGCATGGTGATATTATAAGCCTACTTTCATTTTTTTTTTTCAAAATAAAGAAAACAGGCTAAAAATACATATAATCATGTTATCACAATTCTGATCCCTGCATCTGGGTATGCTTGGTCCCTCATGTTGTGGTATAATTGACTGTACATGAATTTAAATATCCCCCCCCCCTCCATATTCTATGTTGTAACTATTGATGGGATAATTACAGCAGCGGATCACAGTACATTTTTTATATATCTTAACTACTGATTTCGAGTATTCAGCAACACTAATTTTTCTAAAAACTACAGCAGTGTGCAGTTAGAGTTATTGAATTTTTTGTTTGTCTAATTCTTTGTATAGGCGATAGTAGGGACATGATAAATAAGACCAATGTAAGTTGTTTAGTAACAGACATAACCAAAAAGTTTAATAAATCCACACAAAGGTATGGAATTTGTTTCAAAAATGCTATATGCTACACTTTGATGTTTATTTGCAGCTGCAGAAAAATAAAATATTCTTTACTGGGAATAGCTACATTTAGCAGTCAATAATTTGGATGAGCAAAACTCACCAAGACCAGACACATGATGATGGATGAGGAACGTCCAACATTGTTGTTCCCATTGCTGAGAGCCAAGCCTGGCCATGCAGCTTAGTTTGAGTATCCTGTTGGGGAAAGTGATTTCTGTGGCTGGTAATCTAATGCCCTTAATAGCCACATGTAGATTTGTAGATTCATCTGAGTCTAACCTTGCTGTAAACTCAGCAGGTATTCCATAGTCAATAAGCCATTCTGCATCCATCTGTGAGAATCATAATTACCATCTCATGTTTTATTTGTGTTATGGATAGAGCATAAAAGTAGATTATATTAGGATCATCATCTCCCCCGTCTCCTTCTCCACTTTCTTCTTATTTTTCTTGAATTGGGTCCAAGTCCCACTGCGAGACTAATTGAACTGTTCCTTCCACCTCTTCCTAGGTTTGCCAAGGTCATATTTTCCCACAGAATAGCAACTGTATGCTTGTATGATAAATATTCAGGGGGCCTTCCATCATATAGGTTCCTTCAATTTTTTTGGCGCTAACTTCTTCTGTTATACTTTCCTCATTCCTTGTACTCTTTTGTACTCCTCAAGGTTACTGCTTGCTTGCTGTGCTCCTCCAGCTTACAACTATACTCCTGCCGCTTACTACTTACTTACTTACTTACTTACTTCCTCACTCACTCACTCACTCACTGCTTATGATTGCCTACTAACGACCTTTGCTGTCCCCCATAAACTTTCGGCGCAAACCTACAGAAAACATGTAACGTGGTCTCTGTCCACTCTTGTGTGACATCACTGCCTACATGGAAGTGTGTTTACCGAGCCGTTGCTTAGAAACGCGTCGCATAACCCTGTTGTTCCCTGTTGCTGGGTGTGGACAACATAAAAAGCACAGCCTCATCTATTGTTGTGTGTTGGACCGCGTTCACAGAGCTGTTGCCTGGCAATGCATTGATCAAGTCCATTACAATATGTGTGTAGTGTTAAGCATCCAATTTTAAGTTATAGTATTTAACCTGTATCTATATATGATACAAACGCCAGAACAGCAAAAATAAAAAAAAAAAAATATGTTTCACTTTTCTTAGCGATGTGTGGAGATATGTTGAGAAACCAATTATATCTAAGGGACATCATGCAAGAAATTTTGAGTTTATGAAGGCTATCTGAGATGTTCATTCTTTCTTTCAAGACGAGACTTTGACAATCAAAAATAATCACCCAATTTTACCACTCACAGCAATAATGGAAAGTGTGTGATGTAACGGTATACATCACTAACTGGTGACAACACACCCTGGTTGCCCTGGTTCAACCTCTGGTACTGCTTTATACACAGAAGCCATTTTACAAACCACATGTATCTCCAGCCACATCACTACAGCAGTTTGTCCTTGTAGTTTCTGAGTAGTGTTTGAAGGATAATCAACATTTAAATTTAAATAACCAAATACGTTATTTCTTTAGAATAGTACACAGTAGTCTGAAACTTTATCCAGTACATTTATGCTATTTAGTTTAGTTACGAAACTTTCTCAGTCACAATTATTGAGAATTTGACTATAAAATATATTACAATGAGTATAATATAAGGACTATAAGGTATCAAACAACTTTTTTTGAATTCCTGATAAAATAAAACGCACAAGGAACTTGTAATGCTGTGTATAAAATGTCTCAGCATACTGCCTGAAAAGGAGATAGCAAGAATCCCTACACATTCTCAAAAACATTGGGTATAAGCAACTCAACGTGAAATCTTGTATAAAAATAAGGATCCCGAAAATGTTTGGTGTAAGAAGATCTTAAGCGTTGTATGGTTACTTAAAACACAGATCATAATAAGCCCTATAAAACTCACAAAAATAATGGATGGGATAATAGCCATAAGAATATCTGCAAGGCTCTCTATACAAAGTCTCAAGATCGCTCAAGATTAAAGTGGTAACAAGATGGCGGCAAACAAGGTATGCAGTGTGAATTGCTCTGATATATACAGGGTGTCCCAGGAGGAATGTGCCAGACTTTGGGAGGGTGTTCCTTATGTTAAACTATGCCGATAAAACCCAAAACACCTACGTCCAAAGTTGAACAGTTACGGAGATAATGGCCCGAGAAAAGTGTGGTCTTCTGGCGGGTCCACGCACTGTACCTGTCAGCTGACAAGTCTTATCTATGTTTGCCTTGAGTGTGGTGATGACAGCTCACGTTAGCCCCGTACACTCGCATACCAGAACGTGCAGTCAGCAATGTTACGTCAGTGCTTGCCATTCATGTGTCATGTATAGTGCTTGGAACTCTTAACGACAACTTTGACATGGCGTGCGAGTTTTTTGTAGCTCAATTTAATGGCTTCATGTCACTTACAAGTTAGTTTGATGTTACGTACATTATTAACATTACAGAAAACACATATTCCTGCCAGTTTTAATACGTATTTGGTAATCAACTAGTGTGTAACACCTGTCAAAGTTTCACACTTCTCTGACCATTATCTCCGTAACCGTTCAACTTTGGACGTAGGTGTTTTGGGTTATATAGGCATACTTTAACATAAGGAACACCCTTCCGAAGTCTGGCACATTACTCCTGGGACACTCTGTATATGTTGAAACTGTAAATGATAAACTAGAAACAAACTGTCAAAATTGCACTAAATTAAACAGTGAACTACAAAAAGCAAAGGAGGAAATATTATCTTATAAAGGAATTATAAAAGTGCTTCAAGCCGAGTTAAGTGATAACGTGAGACTAAATAATCTGAGTGAGCTGGAACGAAATAATAATTATTGTGAACAAGCTAAAACTTTATTAATGGAGAAAGACTGGCAATTAATAATAGACAAAAAGAAATCTGGTTGTTTTAATAGAAATTTATTACAAATAATACCCACAAACGTGAATAAACCTGATTCCAAACGTAACCTCAAAGACGATGAAGAACGGACTAATATGAGAATGAAGGAACTCGGAGCAAGAAATATAATGAATCATACCTTGACAAAAGAGAAGATTAAATATGAAGAAAGTCAGAGAAAATACAAACAAAATACGGATAATTGGTGATAGCCATGCGAAAAAAAGTGCAGCTGAACTTTGCATGATTTTGGATCATAGATACAATATTATGGGAATTACCAAACCAAGTGCCTTGATGAGTGTTATATTGACAACAGCTATAGATGAAGTTGCTTCATTAAGTAATAAGGATATCTTGATCTTGTGGGCTGGGGCAAATGATAATATTCATATTCATATTCATATTTATTTGCATTCATACTGTTACAACTGCAACACTTGAACAAGTCAACTCACTAAATACATCATTGTTAAAAGCTCTATAATCCTAGAATGTATTAGACTAAAAATAAAACTGTACTTGCCTTACAACATCACTAAGAATTTTAAAAATATAACAATAACTACTACAATTCCCTTTTCTTCTCTTTTTTTGTTAATAAAAAAAACCTTGCTATGCTTCCTCATGTCCCTGTTGAAGAAACTCATTCAATGTATAGAAAGGACGATCAAATAAAAATAATTTTAATTTATGTTTAAATTCATTACATCCCTTTGACTTTTTAACTTCCAAAGGAAGTATATTACATAATTTAATGCCCACATTAATAGCACTTTTCTTTAAAAACAGATGTGTTACATTGTTGTACATGAAGATCATCTTTCCTCCTAGTATTATACTCGTATAAATCAGTATTTCTCGTAGTGTATATATTATATCTCTTAAAATAACACAACACCTCTACGATGTACAAGGACGTAATAGTTAAAATCTTCAATTCTTTAAATAAAGGTCTGCATGACACTCTGTTATTTACACCTTTAATGAAACGAAGCATCCTTTTTTGTATTTTAAAGACTTTAATACTTTCATTTTCTCCTCCCCAAAAAATCAACCCATAACTTACCAACGATTGAAATTTGGCAAAGTATATATTCCTGAGTATATGTAAACTTACCTCATCTTTCAAAGATTTAATAATATAACATACCTTATTCAATTTTGAACACAAGGACTGAATATGTACACTCCATTTGAGATTTTGAGTTATATTAATACCTAAAAATCTAAACTGAGATGTATACTTAATTTTTATATTATTAAAAATAATATCTGGCCCTGAGATGTCATGCGGTTTCTTTAACTGGAATAACATAGCTTTAGTCTTATCATTATTTATAATCATATTGTTTTTTGAAAACCAAGATTCCAGTTGGATCATAATTCTCTTTATTTTATCTTGAAGGACGCTTTTATCTTTATAAATAACCAATATATTGGTATCGTCTGCAAAGAGAACAACCTCCCCATTTGTTATATATTGGGGTAAATCATTTATGTATAAAAGAAACAAAAGCGGGCCCAATGTAAACCCTTGCGGTATTCCAAATTTTGTATTCCTCCTTATCGAACTAAACCGATTTCTGGAGTACTTATTATCATTAGATGTTATTTCAACATACTGAGAACGCATTTTCAGGTAGGATTGTAACCAATCATTGATTTTTCCTCTTATTCCATAATGATCAAGTTTTTTCTAGCAGAATATCATGATCTATAACATCATACGCTTTTGAAAGATCGAAAAATATACGAACTGCAGTTAACCTCCTTTCCAGAGCTTCCTGTATATTACCAATAAATGTCTGACACGCCGATATAGTCGACTTATTTTTTTGAAACCCATACTGATTTACCGCTAAAATCTTAAATTTACTAATAAAAGATACCAATCTATTATACACTATTTTTTCTAAGATTTTAGAGAATATTGATATAACCGATATAGGTCTATAGTTACTAATTTCTTGTCTATTACCCTTCTTAAAGACCGGTCTAATTTTAGCTATTTTAAAAAAATCAGGAAATACCCCTTGATTTATAGATTCATTAAATATAAACATAAGAGGTTTTTTTATACATGTAATGCATGCTTTTACTAAAAAACCTGGGACTTCATCTACTCCTGAAGAGGCTTTTCCTTTTGATTTAGATGTTATTGAGACTATTTCTTCTTCTGAAGTTGGAAAAAAATACATAGACTCTAAATTGTCTACTACGACTTTTTGTACTGATTTTCCACTACCTTTACTCCTATTCTTTTCCACTAGTTTTTCTACCTTGTCAATAAAATACGAATTAGTAAAAATAATACAAATGAAGCACATAAGTGCTTAATGAAGTTTATGGAAAAGCATAAAAGGACAAATATTCTAATCCACACACTACATAGATATGATCTTACAACTATTTCCTGTGTAAATAAAGAGGTACTGAAATTCAATAGGCAAGCAAAGAAAATAAGCAAACTGAATTCAAATGTGAAACTAATGGAAATTGATCTACAAAGACAACATTTTACTAGGCATCGACAACATCTAAATCTACTGGGCAAAGAGCTAGTTGCCTCAGAGCTGGCATAGAAAATCGAAAAATAGAGGCTAATAGCAAAAAATCTATGAGAACTATAAAAAATCCAAGAACAAAATCAAATTTTTTTTTATGGTAAAACTATTTAATAAGTGCAAAACAAAAACTACAAAAAATAACGTAAAAATATTTCAACAAAATATATGTGGTTTAAGAAATAAGTATAATGAAATATTATGTCATGTAGAAGAGTATACACCTCAAGTACTCTGTTTCACCGAAGATCATCTTGGGAGTGATGAAATAGTTCATATTAATTTGGCCAGTTATACTTTAGGTGCATATTATAGTAGGAACAATTTTAAGAAGGGTGGAACGTGTATATATTTGCACGATAGTTTAACAACTCATGCTATTAATCTTGATAAATTTTTTTGTGATAAGGATATTGAAGCCTGTGCTATCACTTTAAATACTGTAAATTTTAACTATATATGGATCGCCTTCCAGTGATATGAAATATTTTTGAGTAAACTGGAATTGATTTACAAAATTTGTATAAAAAAAAGGATAAAGTTATTGTTTGTGGGGATTTTAATGTGAATTAAATGGAAAATTCTCATAAGAAAACTAGATTTGAAGATATTCTTAGCTCCTTCAGTCTTAGAAGTATTATTACCGTTCCTGCTAGTGTAGGACCAAATTTGTCCACAATTATTGATAATATATTTATTGACAAACAACATATTACCAACTATGAAGTTTTTTCCGTGTCTAATGGATTATCGGATCATGAAGCACAATTGTTATTTGCACAATTTCCGTTGCCTTGTATAAAAAAGAACGAAATACTAGTAAAAAGAAATATAAATGATTATAATATGGCAGAATTTAGAATGAAACTAAGTTATGAAAAATGGGAACTAGTTTATAACAATAAGTACATTAATACTAGTTTTAATCAATTTTTAAATATATTTTTGAGACATTTTTATGAATCGTTTCCAATAACAAGTAGAGAAAAGTATAAACAGAAATCATGGATTACCACTGGTATAAGAATTTCTTGTAGAAACAAAAGGATATTCTATGTTGAAGCAAAAAAAAAGTAACAACCCTATAATAGCCACCTATTATAAGAACTATTGTAAAATATTAACTAGAGTGATAAATCTAGCTAAGAAGATGACATATGATAAACAAATTAAATATTCAAAAAATAAAGCTAGAACCACGTGGAGAATAATAAATAGTGAAGTCTTCAGGGAAGGAAATAGAGAAAATATTCAAACCTTTGAACATTGAAGGTAAAAAGAATACTAATTTGAATGATATTGTTGAAACGTTTAATAGGTATTTTAGTGGTATAGCGGATAATATACATAAGTATATAAAAGGAAATGGTGAAAATAATAAATCTAAAACTACAAATTGTATGACATACTTGATGCATTTGAGAGTCCACTACCTAGCTTAAAAATTATAAATACTACGAGTAGGGAAATAGGATTCTATGGTCCCTAAAATCAAATAAAACCCATTGATATGGTGAAATTTTGAATAATATACTCCAAGCCTGTAAAATCTTTATTAGTGAACCTATAAGTTACTTATGTAACAGGGCTATGCATTAGGGTATATTCCCAGACAGATTAAAATATGCTACAGTTGTACCAATATATAAAAAAGGTTATAAAAGCTTAGAATCAGATTACAGACCTATATCTATATTGACATTTATTAGTAAGATATTTGAGAAGGTAATGCATAGTAGATTGTTAAAACATTTGAATAATAATAGTATATTAAGCAAATACCAGTTTGGATTTAGAGAAAATCAAGGGGCTGAAAATGCAATTTATAGACTCATTAAATAAAAAAATGCAAGTCTGTGGGATTTTCTGTGACTTAGAAAAGGCCTTTGATTGTGTTAGCCACAATATATTATTAAATAAACTGAGGTATTATGGAATAAAAGACAAACAATATGACCTATATAAGTCATATCTATTGAATAGAAAACAGAGAACTGCTGTCTCCAATGGGACAAACAGTAGTAAAATAAACTCTCAATGGGTTAAAGTAACTAATGGTGTCCCACAAGGGTCAATACTGGGACCACCACTGTTTATAATATATATAAATGACCTATCCAAGATTTTGGAGAGTAAGAGTATTCCCATTCTATTAGCTGATGATGCCAGTTTTTTAATCTCTCAAGAAAATCCAATAAAACTTAAAAATACAATAACTAGTATATAGGATGCTGGAGGACTGGTTTAAAAAAATTTAATGTCAATATAATGAAAACATATTATATAAACTTCACTGTAAAAAATAATGTAGTTAGACAAATGGGAGGCATAGGAACAGTTTTATTAAATACAAATTACATAAAATTTCTTGGCCTGACTATCCAAAATTATATAACTTGGGATAGACATATAGATGAGACAATAAAGAAATTAAGATAAGATATGATAAATTGTGATAAGAAATGTAAAACCAGTGGTGTCTGTAAAAACATTAAAAAGTGTTTATTATTCATACTTCCATTCTGTTCTGATATATGGAGTAATGTTTTGGGGTAACTCAACACATGCAGAAAGAGTTTTTAAGATACAAAAGAGAGTTATAAGAATAATAAAAGGATGTGGCTACAGAGAGTCATGCAGAGAACTATTTAGGAATGTGAATATATTTCCTTTAAGATCACAGTATATATACTCTCTCCTGATGTTTATAGTAAAAAACAGAGAAATATTTGATACATATAGGGATCGCTATGAAATAAATACTAGACATAATATGGATATACATATGAGCCAGGTAAATTTTGCGAAATATGGTAATGGGGTAATTCACATGGCTGTAAGGATATACAATGCACTACCTAATAAAATTAAAGTAACTTCTAATGATATAAATAACTTTAAAAACAATTTAAAGGAATTTATTTATTTAAATTATTTTTATAAACTGGATGAATTTGTTAAGAGGTAATAATTATACAGCTATATAAATATATAAGGCGTTGAGTAGTTCAGTAAATGGATAATCATCGTGAATGTACAGTAACCATACTTATAATTGAATGTTTTTATATGTTGGATTTGTTGTATATGTTAAAGCTATGTGACCAAAATATTCTGTTACTTTTGACGGAAACTTTTATCTTAAATTTTTATTTTAAATGATAATTTTGAGTGTATTGTGCTAGAGAGTAATTGTATTATGATGTAAACAAATATTGTCATATATTATAAGTCTTTTTGACAATTGCTTGATAGTATTAGCAAGATAAATTGACACAATTCTGTATCTAAGGCTTTAGCCTACTATAGATGTAATGGAATAAGGAAGAAATAATAATAAAGATACATAAACTACTGACTAACTTTTCTACAACTTACTTGTTTGTCATTCATGTACCAAGTTACATGTGCTACTGGTTTTGAAGGTGGTGATGTGCAATTGGCTTCCACAATATCACCCACCGTGTACAATCCTCGTAGACCACTTATGCGTGGCTCTCCTGCAGGGAGAGCAGCTAAAATGACACATATGCCATACTTTAGTGATATCTGGCCTGAATTTAAAGTTCTTAAGATAGGTACCTACCATTTGTATGAAACTCCAACTCTGGATATGGAGAGAGAATGTTCATGTTTTATGTTTTATAAAGTTTAATTTTGAGATTTCTTAAAATTTTCCATAACAGAACGAAATAACCTGCTCAGAAACAATGACTATTTCTCCTCAATATCTGCAATATCAAATGATGTAAATTCCTCTCCGGTTTGCAGCCACTTTAATGAACTGCCTGTAGGTTCAGTCAACAAAGATTACTATAACTGTCATGGGTACACATATAATTGCAGACATTTAATTTCTATATTAAGCTCTGCATTGGTGGGGTTAATATAATCAATATTAATTGCTGACAGCAATGACATAAATATTTCATCTTTTTCAGAAAAATTGCTCTTAAAAACAAAACTGTCCTTACTATAATGCATACTTCCATCATGCCTGTAATGGCAGTTAATAAAAAACATGTTATGTATATTGCATAGTTTGAGAACATCTTCCCAGGCTTGAAGCTAAAATTATTTACTGTGTTAGACCCTAATTAATCCTCTCTTACTCATACTGAATATCAATGTTGAGATGTCAGGAATCTTGCTGTATATTCAGGAGGATTCATGTTTGAATCTAAGCCTAGGTGCTGGCTACTATGAAAGACATGGTTTTCCTGAGTGCCTCTAAAAAAATGTTGGGATAATAGATTGTGGGAGCCTCCCACAGTGAAGCAAGCACTACTCAATCAGTGCTCACCATGGTAGATCCAATGCACATTGGTTAGCCCACTGCCCAGTAACAAAAGCATAAAGATATGGGCCTCTGACATGCTAGCATCAATCACAATTATGCTGCATCAAAAGAACACTGCAAGAACGAATCTACTAGCAGCCAGCAATTGCCAGCATTCATCAGGTCATCCAGCCTCACCACCACTAACACTGGCTAGCCTGCTACTGCAAAAGCTCTACCCCATGTACTGCCAGCTCACAATCACCGGGCTGCTGAAAAGAAGAACACCGACACTAGTGCTGGCTAACTCACAATGACAAGACCTCTGCCCACCATCCAGCTGGTTCACCCGGCTTCTGACATACAGCCCTTTTCTGCAACAACAATATCGCCAATATCACTAGCTCAGGCTAACCTGCTATGAAGGGAGTTTTAACGAGTATTCTGCTTCCCTGCTCATCTGTAATACTCATTCTAACAGCAATAAACATTTGTTGTAGTTCTAAGTCCTTGTCTCTCTGCACCACTGGATTCAACATCCCACAAGATTAATGGGCCACGTTAACTTTCAATTCATCATTTTAAATCATCCCACCATTCCAAGACTACATAATCTGTGCTGTATTCAAGATGAAAAGGTAATTTCATAACTGGCATGAGCAATCATGCTGTCAAGGTAGAGTGGAAATACAGCGTCATGAATTTCCACCACTGAATGAAGGTATGTGTCACCTTCATGTACTGGACATTTTACCCCAGTCAAATAACCAAATTGCAGGCTGTGATACTGACCATACTGACCACTGCTGACCGCTGCTGACCACTATCTGGTGGTGGCAAAAGGTAAGGAGATACTGGCAATGAGTATGGTCTCGCAATGGCGGATGATTTGATAGACGGTGAAAGTGTGATGCTAAATAATACAGGAATTCCGATGGCTAATCTAGGAGATGAATTCTTGTGCTGTGCGAGTTTAAAATGGGAATTAAAATGTGCTATTCTTTAATTGGAATTGGCTACTGAAATCATTAGAATACTAAGGGAGGAGATATTCAGTGATGTTTTAGAGGTTATGAGCAGCTTAAAAGGTGGACTCAGCAAAGAGAGCGAAAATAAAAGTGACTTCCCAAGATAATTGGAAAAATCAAATACAGAAGCTAGGAAGCCGACAAAGTGAGACTACTGAAGAATGGAAAGTTACGTTTAAGGACATTAAGGATCCCCATTCGAGGGGATCTGTAAGAATTATAAGTGATTATTTAGGGGCTGTTTATCCAACGAAAGCTGATCTACAGTTTTCTGCATTTCGACCCGTTAAATCAACATACGCTGAAGATGAAACAATACATGAAATCCCTACCATCGTTAATGGTACGACTAATACTTGCTCTAATGATGGAAGTGAGTTTTCGGAAAGTGATAAATTGCATATCAGTGATCGTGCCTTACACAGGAAAGCCGGTAACAGATTATCTCCTTTGAAAACGAAGTGTAAGTTGTTATTAATGGGAGACAGCCATGCAAGAGGATGTGCAGTGAGAGTCAAGAACATGATAAGTAAAAAGTTTGAAGTTTGTGGACTGGCGAAACCAGGCTCGGATGCTGATAATTTAACAAAATCTGTTAATTTCATTCATTCATTTTTATTGGTTCCAGAAATCCACATTTTGCAATACAGCCTCCAGATATAGAACAAGTCAAATTATTTGTATAAAAGTCAGTAATACTATAATTTAATATTTAAGTACATACACAAATTGTGTACATGTCCAACATACCATATAAAACTATATTAAAAATTTAAGACAGCTTAAGTTCCCCAACAGAGTAAGCAATTCAATCCATTTCACATCAATCAATCAATCAATCAACCAATCCATTCTTCCTTCCTCGTCAAATCACTGTCATAAGAAAACGTTCGATACGTATTAAACATACAATATTTCAATTTCTATAATTAAAAAATAAATACCCCCCTTTCACAAACATACCATCTTTAATTTAACATATATTCCTCTACAGAATAAAACGTATGTTGTACCAGATATGACCTCATTACTTTTTTAAACTGTCTCATTTTTTCTATCTCCCTGATTTTATTTGGTATTTTATTGTATAATTTTATTCCCATATTCAGTACTCCTTTCTTATAGGCATTTGTTCTGCAAAACTGAGCATGGAGATTTAACTTCTGGCATGTAATGTGATTATGAACTATGTTATTTTGTTCTAACTTTTCTAAATGTAGTTTAACATGGCATACTATTCCAAATATATATATACAAGGTAGTGGAAGTAGGTTTAAATCCTTAAAGAGTTGGCTACATGATGCTAATCTACTCACACCACTAATTATTCTAACAATTCGTTTCTGCAATTTAAATATAATTTTACTTTTTGGGTCGCTACCCCAGGAAATTAAACCATACTTCAAATAAGCATGGAAGTGAGCAAAGTAAATACTCCTAATAACCTGTCAGCTTGTTACATCCCTAAGGGATTTTATCGTGTAACAGACTTTATGAAGTTTTGAGCTTAAGAACATTATATGCGCTTTCCACTCCATATGTTCACCAACATGTATACCTAGAAATTTCATTTCACGTTTATAACATAATGAGGTTATGAACCTATCAAAGAGTGACATATTTGTTTTTTGGGGTGGCTTCAGTGATGTGTATAAGAATAATTCTGAGATTGGTTTGAATCATATTCTAAATTTTGTTAAAGCATTTAGTCACACTAATATTCTCTTAAATGTCCCCCATAGGCATGATTTGATTAAATCCTCATGTGTCAATAAGGAAGTAACCAGGTTCAATAGAAAACTAGCAAAATGTATAACATTATATGAGCATTGTACCCTTGTTGATGTTGATCTCAATAAGGATCTTGGTACTGAACATGGATTTCATTTAAATGGGTTAGGAAAAGATGCAATTATGAAGCAGCTTGTGTGTTATATTTATGATAGACTGTTTAAGGTGGCCTCAACCCCAATTGGTCTGGGCTAGAAAAATGATCTTTCCAATCAAGACTTAGAGGGAAATTCTTCTCCTGATGAAATGGAAAGTTGTGTGGAAGTCTCTAGTCAAACAATTTTAAACTTGGACCATTCTTCTTCTGATGAAATGGAAAATTGTGTGGAAGTCTCTAGTCAAACAATTTTAAACCTGGACCGTTCTTCTAATGACGAAATGGAAAGCTCCGTGGAAGTCTCAAGTCAAACAATTTTAAATTTGGACCATTCTTCTCAGAGTTCTGTTATAAATTCAATTAATTCTATAGCTAATAGATCATCTAATAGAATAAGACGAACACACATAACAAGAAATAGGGATCTTTTTATGGTGCCTCAGTCTCCTGGGTCAGTTAGTGATCTTAGGAGTAATGTTTTAGGTAATTCTAACAATAGACACAGTGCTAATTTTGATCATAATCATTCAAAATTAAATTCTCTGAGCTATGACAGAGATATAAATTTCATTCTTCTGGTGATAATTCTCTTAATATATATCACCAAAATATCAGGGGCTTACAAGGTAAAAGCAATGAATTAATTAGCTCCCTACATCCTGAGCTGCCACATGTGTGATGTCTGACTGAACACCACTTAAACTGTAATGATCTGGGCTGTACTTATATAGAACATTATAAATTCAGTGTTGCTTATTGTAGGAAAAATTTTATAGGTGGATCATGCATATTTATACAGGAAAAACTAAAATCTTTAGATGTCAATTTAAGTGCCTTTTGTAAAGATAAAGACCTTGAAGTTTGTGCAGTGAAACTTCCTTTTCTGCATGGTAATATTTTTGTTCTATCTATTTACAGAGCACCATCCGGTAACTTTGCTTATTTTCTGAAGGGATTAGACGCCATTTTAAATTTCTTGCACAATACTAAGTTGGAATTGATAATATGTGGTGATATCAATATAAATTACTTAATTGATAGTAATAATAAGAAACAATTGGATGTTCAATTGTCTTCTTTTAACCTTTCTAGAGTAGTAGATTTTCCTACTATGATCCAAACCAACTCAGGCTCTGCTATTGATAATATTTTTATTGATCTTTACAGACATGGAAATTATACTATATATCCTCATATTAATGGACTGTCTGACCATGATGCCCAGATCTTATATATGAGTAACATTGTTTTACATAACCGAAATAGCTGTAGACATTTTGTGAGGAAATTCAGTAAAGCTTCTAGAAATGAGTTCTTGACTCGATTAAGTTAGGAATCTTGAGATAGCATATTTGTTGATCAGGATATTGATTCAATTTTCATCTCATTTCTTAATACTTCTTTTAATATACAGTAGAACTTGGTTATAACGTCATCAAAGGGACCTAAAAATAGTGTCGTTATAAACGAATATTGTTGTAACCGAAATGAGCACTTCCACAGTAGCCTTATGTTAGTCACGTAAAAATCTAAAATAAACCGAGTTAAAATGTTGCATTTTTTAGTGAAATACATAGTTAAGTACAGACTAATGTAACATTAACATGGAATTGCCCAAATGTGTAATATCAAAGACATATTACAGCGCTTTTCACTGACAATACACACCGCACTAATACTGTATATTAAAGGTAGGTCTACTCACCAAATTACAGTAGATTACATCAATTGTTGTGCCTTACTGTACCTAGATACGAGTACAGTAATCAGTTATCTTCATCTGTTTCCTGTTAC